CTCTGTTGTCCCCTTCTTCTTTTGCCATCTATTGTTCCCAGCATTAGACTCTTCTCCAGGGAGTCCTTCCTTCTCATTAGGTGGCCAAAGTATTTGAATTTCATCTTCAGTATCTGGCCTTCTAAAGAGCTGTCAGGGTTGATCTCCCCTAGGACTGACCGGTTTGATTGCCTTGTGGTCCAAGGGACTCGCAGGAGTCTCCGCCAGCACCACAATTCAAAGGCCTCAATCCTTTTGCCTTTCTTATGGTCCAGCTTTCACAGCCATACATTGCAACTGGGAAAACCGTAGCCTTGACTATACGCACTTTTGTCGGCAGGGTGATATCTCTGCTTTTTAGCATGTGGTCTAGATTTGCCATAGCTTTCCTCCCAGGAGCAAGTGTCTTTTAATTTCTTGGCTGCAGTCCCCGTCTGCGGCGATCTTGGAGCCCAGGAAAATATTCAGTACAATATTCAGTACTGAATATCCATTCAGTGCAGGATCCAATTCCCCAATAATTTTGTGTTCAGTTGTTTTTGGAAAATGTCTGCTTTGATGTACATTTTTTTGAGATGGACATTTGTTATGGCTCTTTAGAATGAAAGAAACATTTGATGGCTGTGGGGTCTGTACAGTATTCAAAGAGTGAGAAATTTTGGATATCCAAAATATATTCTGTCATTATTCATAGTTTCACAATTGGCTTTCTGGACCTTGTTCTTAGTATTTTCTTTTTCTGTTTAATAAGCTTCAGTGATAGATGACTGGCTGGCCCTGCATGACAAATGTTTCATTATCTGAGCATTTTGATTGTGGTAAAAACCATCCTTAGTAAAATGTCCTTTTTTTTATAGCAATCAGGAACCATCTGTGCTACAGAAGATAAAGCAACTATGGCAGTAAGTTCATGCCCAACAATTTCTCCTTTGTATTTGATTTAGCTTAAAGTTAGCAATTGAAATATTTTTGTGATTTACCACTATATTTCCCAAGCTCTGTTTTGTACAGATCAGTAAGGTTGTGAGAGTCTTCATATGGAACACAGAATATTTCAAGTTGTTGCTCTATAAACTTCAACTCCTGATCCAAGAAGGAAACTTAAGTACATATTATACTACAGTACATGTACCAACCAGGGCAATGCTAGAATATCTTGCTGTTCCTTCATTGACAAGGTGGTCAGACCATGGCTTCAAACATAATCACAACATATGCTGATGAATTTTCCATTACTGCCCCAAAGAAAATGGCATAACCTAAGCTTCCAGCCCATCTTGAGCTCCCTACTCAAGAAAATGTAAGCTGATGCTCAGAATCTCTGACCATAGGATTTTGTGGAAGGGTCTTACTTTGGATAAACTGATAGATAAGAAAAATAACTTTGCCTCCCTTTCAAGGAACACATAATGTTTCTAAAACCTTCCAGTGGTGGTACCTACAGCTCAGATAGGTATTGATGTCTAACAGGCATTGGGCATTGCTGATACTACTACGTGTCTGGTAAACTGCATGTGTTTTGCTTTGAATTATCTCTGTTGACATCACTGTTATGTTGCCCTTCATTCTCTACTATAGAATCTATTTTACCATTATTTTCCCAAGCTATCTATAATTTTATGTTGTAGGCTTTTGGATAGAATTGAATACAGTGTTTGTGTATGGAAAGGAACATGAAATTTGAGAGTTAACTCCCTCCATCACAGTGGAGGGCCACACTCTTTAAGTACAAATACCAGCTCTGATTTGAGATAATGTCTCATCTGGAACACATGATCATACAGGAGCTGTCAGATCCCTCTGCAACTGTTTAAGGAAAACTACCTTATGATTGCAGATGGTGCAAGACTCAGAAGGCTCTTAAAAACACATGGCATTGCCCTGCTGTTTCTCCTCCTGCCTCATTCTCAACAAAGTCCCATGTCAACTGGATCTTGGAAACAGGTTTAAAGTGTGAAAAGTTTGATGTTAAACATGTTTTAAAATTCCTGGAAAATCAGGTATAAACTGTTAATAAGAGCAACAATGCTTCCTCTGAATGAGAGAAGTATCTGCCTCTCAGATGTTCTAATGGCATAGAGATCTGAAGCGAAGAGGCACAGTTTTGCCCGACTTCTTCAGAGGTTTGAATAAAGATGCAAACAGCAGGAGAAATCCCCATTTTTCTTCTTATCTAAACAGCTGTACTTCCATGGGTCTTTGTTCACCTGTGGGCAAGGGACCCCACGCCAGTAGCATTGTTTATTCCTGGGCAATGGAAGTGGCCCTGAATGGTTCAGGCTGATGTTAAATAACATCACATCAGGAAGCTGCAGAAACAAGCTTTTTTGCAGCTTTTGCATAGGAGCAATTCAAAGCTAAAGATGAAAAAGGGAGGAGTTTTAAAGTTTTGCAAGACTGGTATATAACTCCTGTTTCTGTCTTGTTTGCATGTTTCAGGAAAGGTTTTGCCATGCAGCTCTGGCCCAGCTCAGGTATGGTTGGTGAATATCAAATACTTTCATGTAGTGTTAATGGGAGAGGCCCATAGGTATAAAAAGAATTCCTGTGACTATCCATATCATAAAGGGACTGCTCCACACACTTTTTACTGTCTTAGAAGGGAATACTCCTTCATTGCATAATCGTATGTTTCTTTGATATAGCCTTTGGACTATTTTCAGCATAGGGTAGATCAATTTTCTGTGGCACATATTTACAGCAAGATTTTTTTTTCTGTTTTAGTTATTTTACTTTCAAGTCAAAACTGATGCAAATGCTCAAAAAAATTAGTCTCAGGTTAATGACAACTGCATGCTAAAAATTTAATGTGAAATGTTATGGAACTTAAAGCTAACACTTTATTTACTCTATGCATTTCTGTTCCCGTTTAAGAACAACCATCTGTTTCAGAAATACTGAGAGAGATAAAGCAGGATCAGCTGAGCACTTTGAAACAAAGTGTTGAGGATTGCCTCAGTTTATTGGACCCTAGCAAGTTGGATTCTGAGCAAATGGCGGTATATCCAGATACCAAATGGCAGAGGGAACGCAGAGAAGCTAAGGTTTGTCTTCATGTGTCTTTCATATCCTGGTTGTGACAGGCTAACTTAAATCGTTAAGGGCAGGGATTGGGGGACAAGGGATGGTGGAATAAAGGAACTTAAGTAAATATCCAAACTATGAAAGCTGCTGTCACTGAAAATGAAGTGGTTACTTGATCTGTGTTTTTCTCAGAGCTTTCATTACCAATAGTTGGCTCAGATTTGCTCTGTGCAGTTTGTTCATTTCTGGTTGATGAAACTAGGAGAGGTGGGCAAGCTATAAAGAACTTTGGTCCTGTTAAGCACTGGCTGGGAATATGTGGATGATCAGGGTGTGTGTACAAAGTGGATTATCAATTTTGATTTCAGCTGCAACGAGACACCTTCACAGTCCCAGCAAAGCTTCTAGTAATCAGTGCAGAAAATGAGGCAGCTCTTTCCAAGTCCTACACTCCAAGTGAGTACCCAGAGTTAAATAACTATAAGAAAGTTTATTCTAGTTCAGGTACTGGCAACCCATAGTCCTCTAGATTTTTTAGAGCAGTAGTTTTCAGCCACTGGTCTGCGGGAGATTTCCTGCTGGTCCATGGTGGGGGGGCACCCTGCTTGCTGCGGACTGGTGTGGGGGCTGGCTCTGCTGCACCACCTCTTCCGTGGTTGCATCACATTCTCGGGGTGCGCTGATGTCATGGGGGTGGCAGGGAGGGAAGAGATGGCTTAGTGGTAGCCACACTGTGCTGATTTCGGTATTTTGTTCTTTTGTTGGCATTTTTTGTTGCTTGGTTGCTGATTGTTTTGGAGTTTTTTTGTGGGGGGTGGATATTGTGTCTGGAAACCAAAACACAGAATACTGTATTGTATGTATGGTGTTTTTGTTTCTGCCTCAGCAATCCCCAAGGTGGTTTTCCTGTTTTTGCTGGTCCCCAGCTATGGAAAGGTTGAAAACCACTGTTTCAGAGTATAACTCCTTTAATGTCTGGTCTGCTGGCTGGGCCTAGTGGGAGTTGTAGTCTGAAACATCTGGTCTTAAATCTTGTTGATGCTCTTTAGCTTAGATTATCCAAGCTCCACACAACTTACAGCTGAATAGCTGTAGCTTACCTTTAGGTCTGTAGGCTGGCACGTTAAGGAGCAGCACACGGTTATATACTTGCTATTTCCTTCATCCACCTCGCTCTACCTCTGTCCTGTAGATTCTATACTCTTGCAGCTGTAAAAATGACCAAGGAACTGTACAGTTAGTATCAAGCAAATGACTGCTGCTGGCTGAGGCAGTCCCGTTATGGCAAACTTCGACACCACTGTTACACTGATACATACAGTATCAGTTGTCTAAACATTCGAAGTTCAAGGTAAAGAAAAGCACAGTTACGTAAAGAAAGTGATCTGTATGATTCCTTTACCCTCCATGGTGTATTATTTTTTGTGTTGATCAGCATGCATTTGGAGTAGTGTGTCCACTGCTGGATATCAAGCTTAATGAAGAACATTGATAAACGAGTGTTGCATTTTACAAAATATGGATGTATGTGATTGGATGTAGATGAGATTGGATGTGGACAAAAGTTGCTCCCAAGCATTGTTGTGTATCCTGAGCTCCTGTGTCGGTTGCAAATCAAATCTGTATGACGATTGGGAAGGATAGCGCAGGAATGTGTCCCATTTGAGGAGACAATACTTGTTCTTACAGAGACTTCTCAAGCTGTTCATGATACTGGTGAAAGCTCTCAAGATGATGACCAAAGTACTGCGTCCTTTTTTAGTGGTACGTAGCAGTAGTTGTTTTTGTGACAAACAGTGCTTGGTCTTTTTGTTGGAACATTAAAGTCTCCTTATAAGAAGAGAGAATTATCTAAAAGACTTGGTTTCATCCTTTATTGCTGGAGGTTTTTGCTCAAGGTAGAATTCACATGAAACTAATATTCTTTTAGATAGCGGTTGCTTGTCTTCAGCCAAATGTCACTGTTGCTTAGCATTTCTGTAATGGAAACTATTTGATGTGTGCAGAATTTTAAGCCAGGAGTCCTGGTCTGGCCCTCTGAGTTTCCCAAATTATCATGCCCTTTCCTTTGGATCTACTCACACCAGAACCATTCAAAAAGAAACTGGACAACTATCTGAGTGGGATGGTGTAAATTCGTGTCCTGCAGCAGCAGGGGGTTGGACCCAATGACCTTCATGTCCCCTTTCAACTCTTCTATTATTCTACTCTCTTTCTTCCAAGTACTAACCATTGGTGGCTTTTCTGTAGTTTTCCTCCATTTCGAAAGATTGAAATGCCTCTCTCCAGACTTAATTATTGGCAGTAAAAGCTCTAAACTGAAATAGGCTGCCCTTTTTAATGTTTTGGCCCTACCCATTTTGTCTCCACCCTTTTTGGCCTTTAGCCCCATCTTCCACTTGCAGCTCCTGCAAGCTTCCTTGGTATGTAGCCATTGGACTGAAAGAAATGGAACATTCCATCCTAGGAGATTAAGATGTACCAATCTGATCAAATATTGAATTAATCTGTCCAACTCTGAAAGGTTGCAACGCTGTCTCCTGCTCAGATAAAAAATTGACATGGACAAATGTAAAATTCATTTGTCTGTGCCTATTAATATGTTTTTTGAAGAGTCTGAATAACTGAGCTATAATCTGTTCAAAATTCTTTGATTTTCATGCTGTGTATGAATGTACCATAGGTAGGATATAATTTTGAACTCACTTGCTGTTGGGTCCTGCCTTATGTGATAAGGACCTTGAGCACACTGAGAATCATAGTTGAATGGTTCTACAAAATATCATAAGTATTCTTTGGCAGGAACAAAATCTTAATTACTGTGAATGGCAGCATGTAGCTTTACATGGGATTGGAGAGGAACTGAAGCTGGAATATCAAATGCCATCTGTGGTTTAAAGCACTTCTTTATTTCTAACTAGGTGTACTTCAGTAAACCCAACATTATTCTTGTTTTTTCATTTCATGAAGCTTATCTAGAAACTTATTTTGAAGATCATCTCATCAGATCAAAGTTTGAATAATCTTACTGAAAATAACTAACTTTATATTCTTGAACTCATGATTGTGAGAGTAGATCCATGCTCATAACTCACTTTGGTTAGGTGGATGCTCTATCCTTCTTTGGTTACAAGAGTTGTCTCCTTGAAAGAAATAATTCCTAGAATAATTTGCGGTATTAGAATGCTTATTGCTGCTTGTATGACCTTACCCTGATCTCATGATCGCCTGGCTTTTTCTGAGGTCTCTTGCAGGGTGATGCTTAAGTAATTTTTTTTCTTTTTGGCAGCGGAATCTGAAAGTTTGGATGTCTCCCTAGAAAACCCTTGGGATATATTTCCAGGAATGACTTTGACCTCCTCCAGTGGTGAGTAATGCTACAAGATGAACAGGAGCTACCAGTGCAATGCAGATTATAAAGTTGGAGGAATACTTTACAGAAACGTGGTGTTCAGAATTGTGAGAGGCAGCAATTCTTTTCTGAGCATTTGGCATAGTGTGTCCACTTCAAGATACGATACTTTATGAAGGACATTGATGAATGACTTTGTTAGGATGAAGGCAGCAGGTGGTGAAAGGCTGGAATGGTTGAAAAACTAGGTGTCTTTATCCTGATGATTTTAGGGCAGTTTTGAAATATCTGAAAGACTGTCATATACAAGATGGATAAGATTTTCTCCCTGTTCCTCCAGAGGACAGGATCATAACCAATGGGTGGAAATGGCGGGGAGTAAATATTCATTGAACATTGGAAAAGACTTTCTAATGCTATGAGTTGTTCAGCAGTGAAACTGTCTTGGTAGGTGGTGTGCTTTTCTTTGCAGGAGCCATTTAAGCAGAGACTGCGCAACCGTCTGTCAGAGATTTTATATTTTATTATTTATTTATTTTGTTTCATTTCTCTGCTGCTCCCATAACCTTAGGTTTCTCTGGGCGGCTTGCAAATGCTGAACTTCCAAGTGGTTTTTTTTAATGTATCCTAAAGAATCAAATATTAAACGCCCAATTTAAAAATGTTTAAAAGTGGGAAAGTCAGTGTTGATTTTGGAAATTCTGATTCATTTTCGATTAGCTTTTCAGCTCTGTTCCACCCAGAATTGCCTCAAGTGCCACTTTCTTAGTGGAAAGATGGGATAGAAATCAAATGCATAAACCCCACAACTCCGCAGTACATGACACCTTATTAGCATGGAGTGTATCTTTATCTTGCCCTCAAGAGAGGTGCATATAGAATGGAAGTAGAGTTGGAAGTCTGTCAAGTCCAATCCTCTGCCTCCTCCTTCCTTATGTGGTCACCCATCCAGCTGCAGGCCCCTAGCAAAGGTGACTCAACAGGCTAGCTTGCTGTATAGCTGTGCAGGAAGTGACCATACTTCACCTCTGAAAATGCTCATGTTTGCATAACACAGCAACCCACTAGCCAGTTGTTGGGTGAATAACCATCAAGCTCACCATGGCTTCTTTGCTTCTCTCTCCCCAACTTACCCAGGGGATCCCACAGCAGGATTAACTTGCCTGCCCTCTCCCCACTCAGATCCCAGCCCTTTTTGGTTTGCTGGGTGGGGTGTGCATATGCGCTATTTAACTCTTCTTCTTTTTGTTGTTGTTGTAGATTGTAAAAAGTGATCTCTGATTTGACATCTAGTGGCAGCCCTGTCAAAGTGCCTCAATGACACATTGGAGAGCCTGTCACTGGTTTGTCACCTCCTGTTTCTAAAAAATGGCTCCAGTTTCGTGTTTTTTAAATTTTGTTTTCATTTAGTCAGACTTATTCAGTCATTGCTGCATATGATCCTGTGAAAAAAGCATGGGGAGCACTATCCGAAAAGAAAAAAAAATAAAGGAGCTAAAAAGTTGATGCAACTGACAGTACCCTTAGAAGGGGGATGGCTCACACTTCTCCACCTTACTGAGCACATAGGTTAATCTAGTTCCTTCCAACTGTAGAATACTATTAATAATTGCATTGTTATCCTGTATATGGTAAGAAAGTCATTCTTTTGCTCCATGTGCTCAGTATTTGCATCAGAGGTTATTTTCTTGCTAACAAGATGGGAGAGCAAGTGTAATGTAGTGATTGGAGTGTTTGACTGGACCTCGGAGATTGAGTTGCTAGTCCCCACTCAGCCACAGTTGGGTGATCTTGTGCAAGACATGGACTCTCAGCCTAACCTACCTCACAGGTTTGCTGTTGTGAGAATAAAATGGAATAGAAGAAGATTGTATAAACCCTCTTACATTCTTCACGAGAGAGAAAAGGGGCAGAATATAAATCATATAATGATACTTACAGCTTGTTGGAAGGTACTGTTTAAAGAGTTCATTCTGGCCTGCCATCTCTCCCAGCCTAAGCACTCCCTTCACCACTATTTAATTCTCAGCACCTTTTTCCATCTTCAGGCTCATTACTCCTCTTTTCCTGTAGTGCCTCATAATGCACCTCAGCTGCTCACTCCCTCTTGCATGTGTTTTTGGTCACACGGGCATGAGCAACAGAGGATACGGGTGCATGTGTGGCCTGGGGGACCACTGCCAAGGGATCTCATTTTTCACTGCCATATTTCTGTGTCTTAGGACCAAACAGAAATGGAAGGTCGTGATCAGATTTCCCATCCTTTTAAACTTTAAAGCAGCTGTGGCAGTCTCTGGTTTTAATTGCAGCAGCAGTGCTGAAGGAAGGGATTTTAAAGGGATTTTCTCACGGATAGTTCCTGACCTAAATTCCATCTTCATCCTTGAAGCTACTATGAGCATCACAAGGAGAAGATACAGGCACTCGCATCATGCCTGCATTTTTCCCCAGCAGGACTTAAAGCAACTTTGAATAATGGCATTTTAGATAGGGGGAAAGTAGCCTTGGACTAGCATGCTAGTCTTCAGTTGTTTTCCATTCTCATATGGATTTGACTTTGTTGAACTTGCTTCTCCTGCTTTTAGTGCATTATATTCAACATAGCCAGCTTCTGTTGGGCACTGTATTCCTTGTACTTTGTGTGCCTTACAAATAGTGTATTTTTGTTTATGTGCTTTGGCAGACACATCTGGTACACTGCCCGGTCTTCCTGCCCCACAGCAGGTGCTTTTGGCTACTACAGCGGAGGAAGAAGAGGCTCCGTGCTTCAGCAGCCCTACTACAGAATTCCCAGAGCCTCGTGCTCATACATCCCTATGCAATTCTGAGCAGGCGGATCTAGTAGAGACAGCGTCCCCAACACTGCTTCCTTCTCACAACCATGTATCTTTAAAGGAGTCTGTCAGTCAGGAATCGATTGAACTGAACACTACATACCATGCCAGCAAAGCTGCAGATACTGATGAGAGCACTCCCTGTGATACATCATTGAAGAATTCACATTCCCACACTGCTACATGCCTTCTCTCTCCTGTCTGCCCCCCCTCTCGGAGTGACTGCTCCCTTGCATCACTGTCTGAAAACATGAAGGAAGATCATCTCACTCATTTGCAGAGGGATAAGATGGTGCTGAGAAATGCTGGGGAGAAATGTCTGGATAGAGGAAGGAAATGTGTGGCAGCTAAAAGGAAACAGATGATGCCAGATGAGGAGGAAACTACTGAGACTTTTTCCAGTCCAGAACATCCTTCCACCAGGGCCTTTGCAAAAGCTCACGAGCTAGAGAGCAAGCTCTTGACAACTTGTAAATCTCCCTTGAAATTTGTGAGTACACCCAAGAAAAGCCGAATCGAAACGATCCAGCAACATCCAGCATCTGCCCAGTTCAGATGTACAGAGACATTCCTAGAAAAAGGGAGGGAGCAGAGAGTAGCAGACATCACTCCTAGAAGGCCTGGACAACACAGAGGTCAACAGCAGGTACATCTTTGATTTGGACAAACAGTTGTGATACAATTCCTGATAGCTTTGGATTGTGACCAGGATTTTCATCAGGTACAATAGAGTCCACTAACAGTTGTTTAGGAAGGCCATTGTTCCTTCTCTGACAATGCCCCAACATGACCATCACTAGTTTTGCTTTTGCTTCTACCAACAGGAAAGGCATAGATTTATGTTTGCTGAAGTGTAGCATGGTTGACTCTAGATCTGACAAGTTGTGTCCATTTACTACAGCCTTCATCTCCCCATATGTTCTTTCCCCCACGTTGCCCCCAACCAAGAAATCTGGAGGTTGAGCAAGATTGACTTTAAATTCAGTGTGCATCTCTCGCTTCCTTCCAGCAGCATGTGAAACGAGCCCCTTTTCATATTAAGTACAAGCGACCAACACCTGAACTCTGTTCCCAAGTACGCTCTACAAGGTTAGTATCTTTCCTGGCTAGCTGAATTTGAAGTGAGATGTAGGGGATAGCGGGGAGGGTTATAAATTAATTATGTCCAAAAAATTGCTCTAGATAATAGCCTTGGTACCTATAGGATGTTCAAAGCAGGCATGGCACCCTTGGGAAGTTTTGGAACACAACTCCCATAAACTCTGACCATTAACCAGGCTGACGGGAAATGTTGAGAATTATAATCCAATACATGTGGATGCAGTAGGTTAGAAAGAGCTGAACTTGCTAATTACCTATTATTTTTCTGCACTTAAAAAATGGATGAGAATGATCAGGCTATCATTAAACTCTGTGGTCCTAGCTTCACATCTTCTGTTTTTGATTTGCAGGATATCAAGAGCTATGCTGGGATGGGCACGTTGGATTTTCAGCAATACACAGAAGCAGTAGCTGTTACTGATGTTACTAATCTTTAAGGTTGGATTTATCAAGCCAGGTTTTTGCCATGTTCTGTTTGAAGAGGGATATTTTGTTTGTTTAATTGCATACAAGGAAAGGGAAGGAACCCAGTTTGCTAGTCTCATCCAGGGTGGTCCATGTTTCTGTAGCAAAGGCTGCTATGCTTTCAACACAAAAGGACACACCAACTGCAATATGGCATGACAGAAATGCTGTGGTATAAACTCTTTCTCAATCTGTTATCAGATTAAAGTAATCTACATGCTTAATTTTGTACTTCTGTAAAGTTAAAGTTAAATAATAAAATTCCACTTTGAGTTTTGTATATAAAAATAAAAATGTTTTTTAAGCAGAAAGCACCTCCAATATTTCTGTTCAGTTGTGTTTTTTTCCAGCAGAATGAAAAATACTGCATACTTATTTGGGGAAAATAACATTTTGAACTTATAACAAGGTGCTTTTTAAAAAGTTTTTTTTTAAGTCTGACCACAGCCCAGAGACATAGAAATTGATTTACTAACATGAACTACTCTAAATGACCACGGTACTTCGAAGTTGCTTGGATCTCATTATGTAAATAAATTTATCCATCGGATTAGAAGGAATTCTTTTCTGGCCCATAATGGGTGAGCACTACACAACAGGCTGTCTGAGGAGCTCTTTGAAGAAAAAAACTATAAATTATAGCATTGCAACCAGACTGTTTCCTACTTTTAGTAGTCTCCTTAGATTATTCATAACCAGTACTATTGCTTTCATAGGGACTACTCTACGATGATGTCTGGCTGCAGTCCATAGTCCATAAATAGGTTTGTAATTGAGTTTACCACAACAAAGAATATAAAAGATACTGGAACAAGCTGTGCCAACCACTATCTTGTTTTTCACATTCATCAACTAAGATGCTTCTGAAAAGGCTGCAAGAAAATCATGAGGGCAAATAGGTTTCCTCTGATGTTATTCCCCAGTAATAGGGTAGCCAGTGATATCCCGCCTTTGCAGACATGGAAATTCTAAATAACCATCACTGGTATATTAATGACTCTTTCTCCATGAATTTGCATAATACTTTTTCAAGTTATATAAGTTAGTAGCTATCGCCACATCTGGGGATTTTATAATCTAAACAGTTGTTCAAAAAAGTACTTTCTTTTTCTCTGTCAGTCAGCTGCCAGTCACTTTCATTGGATAATACAGATCTCTCTACTAATAGAGAAGTTTTTGATGTGGTGGTAGAGAATGAGAGGCTCTGTTAAACAGCATAGACATTTCTTTCCCTCACTGACTTTTTTCACACATGCTCAGTTACTTTAGTATGAAATAAAGCTTGTCAGCCACGCTGCATTCTGAAATATTATACAAATGTGGTAATTCTTTGGTTTTAAGCAGTGCTTTGAACTGTACCTAAGAAGCATTTGCAAATGTCTCAGAATATCAGGGAAATCAAGAATTTCTTCCTGTGGCAATATTCTGAACTAGAAAGCTTTGGTCTTTAATTGTTTTGATCATTTCCCTGTTCCATTTAATTACAAAATATTTCATGTAGCTTACATGCTTGATCAAATGTTTTGGAAATCAGAAAAAAACAACACAGCTCTTGTAGAAAATATACTTCGTGCCCAGTTTCCAAAGTTGAGCACAGTAGCTTAAACATGGTTTGAAAGTTGAAATAACTGCCTCCATTTCCTTTTCTTAAGGAACAATAGCAACAGTTAAATCAGCTGTTTGTGCTAGCATTTTAAAATATATTTATATATACACATGCAATAAACATTTGGTATTGGATGGCAGTTACCCACAAACAGTACATAGAGCTGAATTCCGTCTGGGTGTTGTCCAGATCTGTAGGAGTTTGGCAGCCTGTATTCGTATATCAGATCACAAGCAATGCGTGCAGAAACAGGTTTTGGGGCATGTAAGGCTACTACTTGTAGTACCAAAGGATGCTGTGAGACTCCAGTAACCCACACTCAGGTTATTGCTGTCTGTATCTCTCCAAACATCTAAGTGAATTGGTAGTCTACTGTGCCACACGTTTTCTGAACTGAAATAGCAGTGGCTGATTGAGACGACTTCTTATGACTCTCCTACATCCAAAGCACTTTGGTGTAGGAAGCAGAGTTAAAAGTGCATATAGGGTGCCATGTAACATGACTGCATCTTTTTCAGGTTGTGACTATATGTTGTAGTTCCTCAGTATAGCAACGTATATGCTTTCACTCTTGTATTCCCAAGTGCTTTACATGTAGGAAATTTAACAGTAATCCATACCATGAATTGTCACCTGCAGCCTTCGGAAAGCAAATAGATTAGGGTAAACTGCTGCCCTTTAAGACAGAGTTTGGAAATCATGACATGTCAACTAAAAGCCAGATTTAAACAGGCACCAAACCTAGCATGACATCTGCAGCTCACACCTTTCCAATCTATTTAAGCATCTTATCCCTTTATTCCATCCCCTTTGTAACAGCAAGGCACAGTTGGATCTTGTAGATATCAGGGAAGCAAGACAAGTCTTAATACCACAATAAATGAGACAGGAACAATTCTGATTTGAATTATCATTCTCATTTAATTGTGGAATGGAGGGGCTGAGACTTTATTAGTTTTTACTTGGTGAAAGCTGCCAAAACAAACACACCCCTCCTGTCTTATTCATGCCAAACACCTCACTGGTAACAGTAGATGTTTGTGTAGAACAGATTTGCCCCCTCCCCCCACCCCAGGCTTATGAAGGGAAGTGGCCAGGGGATGTACAACCATAGAAATAGATATACTGCAGGATGAAGGAAGGAGTAAGATTGTCAATGTGAGGCAGACCTGCCTGGCTTTGTGGCTTAACTGCACCCCTGATTTTAGCCTTTTTTTTTGCAAACCAGAAAGCTGGCCAAGCCCTACACTCTTTAAAAGTACACTGCAAGGCTGGCAAGTTTAGTCTATGTAAAACAGCTCCCCCACTCCCCCCCCCCCCCACTCCTGCTGGTGGTTCTCAGTTTCTGGCACTATACATCTTTGCTTCTGCACCAGCTCCCAGCTGTACAACTGCTGCTCAAATGGGCTGGATTCCTGTGTACTCAGCTTTTGGTTTTCCCCATGTGAACCATCAGAGCACAGGGCACTTACATGAGCAAATACAAGGGTGATAGATGAATAAGGGGACAACCCAGAAGACGTGCAGGAGCTTAGATACCACTATTCCACATTGAAAATAGCAGCTCCACCAACCAAGGAGCCATGTTGGGGCCCGTGGCTTGCTTGGCCCTGTGCTGAATCGCTGGCACCCATATAGCTGGCTTTGCTGCTGCTTTGTATCATAAGCCTTCATTCTATGCTCATTTGGTTGAGCTGCCATCATGCAGAAACACCAGCTAGTGACTCAGTGCTCTTGTGTGTGAGACTTGGCAAACGGCACAGCAGTTCTTTGGTCTAGGGCTGTATTTTGTGCATTCTCTAGGGTATGTTCCAGAGCTTGTTGCAACTCTTCTTCCATTTTTGCTCTTGGCTTTGACTGTGTGACTGCCATGTTTCTTTCTTGGGGTAGCATATCTGCAAGAGGAACCCACAAGCATTCTGTTACCGTAATGATATGGTCTCAGCTGCAGACCTCACCGGGGGCAATGATAGTGTAAAGGCTTTGGGAATCTGAATATCCTACATTTAATTTAGCACCGCTAATGGAAAGGAGCTTAGTGTTGTCCCTTAAGCAAATACAGTATGCTCGATGTGGGGAATACAGATTACTGACTCTTCTGTCAAAAGTGCTAGGTGATTATATCAGCTGTTCCTCCATCAAAACAGCAAGGAAGGTAGTAAAATTCAGAACAAGCCCCGAATTTTTTAAAAATTACAACACACTAACTAAGCTTGTCCCTTGGGAAAGATTGGAGTTTTTTTTTCACTCTTACCTGGGAACTCTGATAATGCAGCTGTGTCAGGCTCCAACAGGGATTTGGGCTTAATCTTCCATTTCAGGATAGGGGAACGCTGCAGACAAAGAGGGGGTTTTGCATCTGTTGAAAATGAAATTGGGTGACCATGTTAACAAAATTGGGAAAGAGGCTTGTGCTTCGAACAGGAAATGGTTGGCAGTTGTGGAAAATGTCACTCAGACCATTGTGTGGGTAATACTGAAGCATCAATGTGCTTGTTGCTTCAGGAGATGCTGTTTTGATGCAGAGACAAGACACGCTATTCCAAGCTTCAGGGAAGTTGGACTAAGGCTGTTGTACAGCAGCAGCTAGGTTGGTAGAAGGGCACTGCTATCCAGACTCTGGCCTTCAGAGCACAAGGGCATTCCTCAGTTTGGAGTAGATTTTTATTCTGTCTCTTACTGCTTCTCACGTCAAGGTCTAACAGAGCACTGAACACTTGACAGAATGTGCGTTCTCTTTTAGTCATTTAATTGCAGAAATGCAGGGAGCAGAAATGCCATGCAAAGACATCCTTGGCTTATGGTTTTATGATTACAGGTAGTCCTTGGGTAAAAAACAAGTTCCATTTCTGAGAATGTCCTTAAGTAGAACTTGTATGTAAGTCAGATCACATGAGTAAGCAACACTTCCATATTCACTGAAACATCTAAACACAATACAGCATTTTAATAATAACGCAGTAATAAAGTAACTGCAGTTACTGGAGAGAGAGAGAGCGGGTCTGTGTGTATGTATACAGTATTGTAAAAAAAACAAAAGAAACAGCTCTTAAAACAGTTTAGAACATCAGGAATGCATTAAGCCTAACATTAGCTGATGATGATGGAGATGGACCCGGTGCTGGAAAGTCAGTGTTTGATTGTGCTTCTGAAGAGGATGGGGTTACCACTGGAGTTGCTTTCTTGAAGTAGGCCTCAAGGGTTGTTTGTACAGCCATTTTCTTTTTCTCACTGTAAATGGCTTCGTAGCAGCCAAGGGCCTCAGTTAGTGTACAGTAAACCTTTGTGAACCTCTCCGTGTTAGGCTCTTGCTCCTCGAACTTTGCTAAGCCTACTTCAAGGGCATAATTTCAAGGGCAAATGCTAAAGAAAAATCGGAGGGGAACTACATGCCTTACATGTGCCCCAAAATACACTGGCTTGGGTATGCTCAAACCGAAGCCTTGGAATGAAAAGCTGTGAAAACTGTATCTCTAAGGAACTGCGTGGCCACTGATGATGAGTTGCAAAATGCATCGGGTACTTCCCTAGAGTGAGTCACGGCTTTTCCCTAGAGATATCCATATAGGGTTATGGCAGTCAACGTGTTCCTAAGCACAGGTTGGTTGTAACTCAGACATTCATAACCTAGGGACCACCTGTATGTTGTGATAGCTTAATGGTTAAGTAAGCAGTCCTGTGCTTGCAGCCCATTAAGGAAGCTGTATCCCTTCTCCTGTTGTGTTAGCTTGTCTTTGGGGTTTTGTCATTCAGATCTTACCACAGGCTTCATGGCTTCTTTCTACCAGAACTCTGATATGAATGCTGCTTACCTGCCTGTGATAAGGAAATATTTTAAATGTTTATCTTTCCAATTATTTTAGAAAGGAATCAGGACTGTTAAACCTGTTTTGTTTTAGATATACTTGGGACAGTAGTTTGTTTTCTCTTTCTCATTTTAATAGTAGGCATTTGTTTCTTATGCTATTCCCTCTCCTTACCCTTTAGCTGATTAGCTTTCAACCTGTTTCAGGTTACTTATATCCTGTTTAGGTCATCTGTTGCCTAGATGCCTTGCATTTTTCTACCCCCTCTTCATTTTATTGTGTCTGTAATGTATGCAGGGATACACCAGCTGGAAGTAATAATAATAGCTGTCGTTATTATATTTATTTATTTCCTGCCTATTTCCAGTCATTGGGACTTAAGCCCATTCTAATTACATGACCATTCTAAATACTTTCGATCTTTCAGTGATAACAAATAAGAAGGATGGCAAGTTGAAGCGAGGCTAATGGTCCAAATAGAACCATGTTTAAAATAGATACTGTTACTCTTGTCCTTATAGTCCCACTTTAGCCACCCACATCTAGTGCTGTGGTCTCTCATCTTTGTTCATACCCTCTTTTCAAACAAATATGAAGTGACACTATATAATTTCCTTATCAAAGCACCTCTGAACATGTACAGAATGCCCACTCTGGATAACAGCATTCTGCCCCATGCCCTTAAACAGAGATACAGGCACCGCTATGCTCCAGACTGGATTACTGCAATGCAGTCTGTCTGGGAGCAGCCTTAAGGCTGCTCTAAAAGCTGGAGTTAGCACAGAATGTAGTGGCTCCGCTGTTAATAGGAGCTGCCTCTTTTCCATGGGCGATGCCTTTGCTGAATGGAATGCACTGTCTACCAGTTTGCTATCAGGCCAAGTTTAAGGTTTTAGTATTAACTTACAAGGCCCTTGGGACCAGGACACCTTAGAAAGCACTTGCTCCTGTACCAACCTGCCTGGTCTCTGAGGTCACAGGTGGACATTCTCCTGGTGGGTTCTGCCACAAGTCCATGGCCTAACGAGCCCACTAAGAGAACAGTCTTCAATGTCGCAGCCCCATTTCAATGGAATTTCATGTCTCGGGGTCAGGCAGACACCAACACTGCTGTGTCTTATTTCAGGAAGGCTTTACTTGCCGACCAGTCATGATTTTAATGTTCTGTTTTTAACCTCCTCCTGTTTGCCACTCTAGAATCGGTTTGGATGTGGAGTGGTATAGGTATACCATTAATAAAATACAACAGGTTACAAGGGTCTCATGCAGACCTCAGGCCTCACACCTCTCAGCTGACAGCACTCTGTAAACGGAGTAGAGAACTGTTAGTTCTGTACCTTATGGAGTTTTTGTACCACCATTGAACTGGTATTTTGCACCTGTTTTTACCTTGTTTACTTTCAGTACAAAACAGGCAATGATGATGGGAGTCTGTCTCACTGACTGGTGTGCTTAATGGAAGTTTAGAAGGTTAGAATTGGACAAATCAATTCTAAAATGCTGGCATCTGAAATTGCCCTTAGAAAAGAGGACTTCGAATTGCCTTAATGGAAAAATTAATGAACCAAGGCTGACAGGTTAGGTCTGAAAAATACAGAAATGGTTTTCATGAAAAGTGGGAAGCTTTTATTTATTTTGCAAATGATAATGCTAACATGGTACCTCCATTATCATATGAGTCATGCTGGAAAGCAGTTTGGGGATGAATAGAAAAGCACAATTAGTGTGGTTAGTGAAGGGCAAAAAGACATGCAGGCACCTTTGTGCCCCTAACTAATTGGAAATATTACTGTTTAAGCATAGCCAGGTCACCCAGTGATATATTATTATTGCTTGGTTATAATGATGGTATATGTTTTATATTGTACTACATAAGTAAATCTGTTTTTAAATATTTTTATATAAAAAGATTTGGAGAAGTGGCTTATCTGCAAAGCAAGATGTACAGAAGCAATTATTTCCCAGTGTGTTTCCAGCAGGAGCCACCTAGAAACTGCCAGCTGGATTCCAGGCACAGCCTTCATTTAGATATTGGTGGACACCCTGAGGCCCTCCAAATGCTCCTGCAATCCCTTATTTTTGCCTGTGCTAGTTCGGGCTGGTTTGTAAGCCAACCATTTGAAGGGCAACAACCTGCCCACCCCAGCACAGGTCTGCAACTTAATCCCCATAAAAGTATTCTCAGTATTCTGCACTTACGGTGCAGCTCTGCCGCACAGGCCTGGTCCCTGAGCTGTTCCTCGTGAACAGACATGGCCCTCCGGTTTGCCACAGGCTTCAGACGAGGTTTGGGTTTGAGCTGATTGTCTAAAAAGAAATGAATAAGGTTATACTCAGGCTGGCCTTTGCAAATTGCAGGGGAATTCTGGGGGCAGCCACGCCAGAAGCCCGGCTTCTCCAGCAAGCTGGGACACTGAGAATACATGCTGCCCTGTGCTCTGGCTTCTGTGGCTGTGAGGGAGGCTGGTAGAGAAACAAACAGTACAATTTTAGCGTTTTCAGAACCAGAAATCCTAGCACAAGCATTTACATACCTCCTGCAATCGTGTTTACGTCAGCATATGAATTCTGTAGTTCCGTAAATGACTCTCCTTCGGCCTTGCTTGTCCTCCTGACAGGATGAGGATCTGCTGTGCTTTTCCCAGTCCTTGGCAAACTGCTGCTCCAGCTCTCTCTCTCCTTCTGCTCTCTGGGGCTTGCTGGCTCCTGCATGGCCAGAGCTTTTCTCGGGGAAGAGCTGATTTCTGAACACTTGCCCTGGAGCTCTGCATTCAGTTGCTTCCCAAGAGCTTTCCAGCATAGTCTCCCCTCACTGGACCCACCGTTGGGCTCCGTACCAGTTCTGCCAGCAACATCGGTGGGACTGACGTGAACAGAGGGATCTGCAACAGAGTGCTACAGGCCATCAGTAGTTCATCCCATAAAGCGGGCTAGCATTTCTACCGCAAATTTTCTTGATCAGCAATTCTGTGATGGCTCCACATTTCCCAAGCGGCATTTCTTATCTGCTGTCTACTGATAATTCCATGATGCTTTGTTTCAGCTCCTCCTCCCTCAAGATGTTCAGGCCACGTACCTGAGTCTTCCTCCTAACTTTATTCATGCAACACACTTCTGCATGACTCATCCATCACTGCATACCCAATCCTAGTCTGATATTACACCACAGTAAATCTCTGGCAAAGGACTTTGGGACTGACTGTCTTGACAGAAAGAGCCAAAGTTACCCAAAATACCTTTCATCCATGTCAAAGTGGAGGAATGAGAAGCAGAAGTTTTGTTAGGGTCACTGTATTTTTTGTGGTGCAGCTTGCCTGCCCCATCAGTATACAGAACCCAGAAGGGAAACACTAAGGCTGGACAAAATGAAAAAAGAGAAGATATTTTCATAGATGCCAATGAAAACTCAGAATAACTAGTTTTTTTCATTTGTACCTTTGGAAGTACGTTATTTCCCATTTTGTCTACCCTATTAGCACACAAGTGTGACATGTAGAAGCTGCTTCTGTCTACCTTGCTCCTTTTGCTCAGTCTGCATAGCAGAAATGTTGTCCGAGTCTAATATGAAGAGACTGTGAAGTTATGTTCTGCCATTCCCTACCCAGCTGCTTGGCACTACATAAGGAGATTGCCCCATGACAATCCACGATGACATAGGAGATAAACTACATGATGTTAAATGCTAATGATTATTGGAAGCACAAGAGGAGGGGAGTGGGAATTTAATCCTTTCCTACCCGGCTGTGGCCCTGATTAAATTTGCTCTTCTGGAGCTATTACTTGCATTAGGAGCCAATCCCCATAGGCCCACCTCTACTCTGGCCCTGAGCTATGCATGGACACTGCAAACGCAGATACATGAACAGCTGAATTAATTGCCTCTGCTATGTGCCGAGAATGGAAAAACAGCATTTCAAGCCCCACGGAACAGATATTCCCAATGAAAAAAATGCACCTACCTGTGGACATGGAATGTGTGCGTGACTTCAAAGAGCAGGGAGGAGACTCGGTTGAGCAGTCCACGATATCCCCTAAAAATCAAACAGCCAATTCAGGGGGCCACCAAAAACTGGAAGGTGGGGGAGAATGAGGTCTAAAGGCAGCTCAAGGAGTTGCTCATCCAGGGTCCAGCTATAAACTGTAAAGGACTCTGAAGTTAGACCTAGATCCTGTTTGAGACTGTGAACAAGCGCCTAGAATGGTATGGTCTCAGAATTCAAGGTTGTGATAGAAGTCTTTTCATACAAGCCATTCCATACTCAGAAAAGTCGGGTGGAACAAAGAACCCTTGGTGGAATGCTTTGTGACATCTAGCTTTTTAGTGTGCAAAATGTGTTTTTAATGGAAAATAGCTTGAGAACAGATTATTAGGCTGGAGCTGGCCTAGGTGCCTGGATGAGATGCTGCCTGGGAACCCCATGTATAATCATATTCCATGTTTCCTACAAATGTCCTAACCTAAATGACTTAATTCCATCATGTCAGCTCCTACCTGCAGGCTGTAGGGGTGCCACCCATATGCAACCCTGAGTTGACCACCTCATGAGTTAAGCTTTGTTAACGCACACAAGCTAATTATATTGGGTGAAGGGAATTTATTTCCCCATCTGTTCTATTGGCTCAGCTAGAGATTTGGGAATCTTGCTGTGCGTTTCACAGATCCTGGATTCTGGCCTTGGGGACGCCACATGGCTGTAAGAGGTTGCTCTGGACTAGCTGCTCACTAGGCAGGAAATTATGGCAGTGTGCATGGCAATTTCTCTGAGCCTCACACACCAGCGAATCTGTGAGGAGATGGAACAGCTCCAGTTATTCCATCAATAAGCAGAGAGGGGGTAAATAAGGCATTTGTCATTATGAATGGTGGCTTTTGTTTGCAGCATAATTCCAACTTGTGCATTACCTCCCTGTGTCAGTGAAAACAGTATGTCAACCTCAGCTAGACATGTTTGGATTTCTAAGGAAGCACTTCGCCAAAGAAGGGGCAAGCGAGCAAACAAGGAAAACAAGAGACAGTGGGTGGAGAGGCCGTGGCATGAGCTCTGCTGTCTCCCTGAGAACATACTGGGGCTGTTTTCCCCTGCGGGCCCAGTAGATGTCATCCAAGCTTAACACATATTTATAGGTAGGTCTTCCTGTGCTTCTATCACTAAACTACCAGCTCATTGAAATGCTGCCTGTTGTTGGATACATTTCCAAGGGCCACTTTTTGGTTCAAAAGTATGAACATGTCTAAGGTGCCTATGAACCTGGGCTTCCCAAATTGGGACTGTAAACTATTTGCATCTGATAGCAACCTGCTTAAAAAGCATAGGGGAGTTTCAAAGGCAAGTTTTTGATGTGGCAGAGTTGTGAGGCATTTAGCATGTGCAAAACTTTGGATATGCCACATAAACTTTGGGATTCCTGGGCTGAATCTCCTTCGATCCAGAGAAGGTGGGGTGAGGTGAGGAAATTTGACTTAGGCACCTGGAAGTGAAAAATGTGCCTCCCTTACCTAGTACAGGCAGCAAACCTGATAAAAGGATGAACAGCAGGGAGGAGTGCAATCAATTGCCACTCACCATCAGAACCAGCTTTCTTGATCTCCCCATCTTTGCTCTGCAAAAAAGAAACAACAGCAATAAGGGAATAAAGGTAGTCATGCACGAGAAACAAGAATAACAAAACTTGGATCTAATTAGGCAGCCCTAATTTGTGCAAATTGTGCAGTTATTGGTTTCACATTTGCACAAATACTTCAAGCAATTTGGTGGAAGCTGAGCTCAAACTGGCCCAGTTCAGTCTGCTTTTGACTGTTGAGTCAGAAATACGTCAGAAACCTGTCAAGCTCAAACAGTGCAAGTTTTCCAATGCAGCACGTCTGTAAATAAACTCCCAGGGGAGGCTCCTTTCCTGAAAATGCACAGTTTGTAGAGTGGCTTTGATAAAGCAAGGAAAAGGAAATCCCGTGACTTGGCATGAAATGGAGAAGGACTCAGTCGGAGAGAGGCAAGAATTAGGATGTTTTGGGGACACGTTCGGTGAATGTATGAATGAGATTCATAAATAGGTTATACTATTACTAGAGCAGTGGTGGCAAACCCAGAGCCCTCTCAGCACGTGAGCCAAGTGGCCCCAGCATCAACCCAGCAGCCAAGCATCGGATAACGGCGCACACAGGGGCCATGCGCATGCTCGGAAAGGAGTAGTGGCACCAAGCGATGACGTCACGAGCCATGACTCATTAGCCGCGACTCGTCTGAGCTTTTGCATGGCCAGTCAGTGCGCTATGCTTGGACTGGCTGGGAGTTGTTTTTTCTAAACGAAAACCTCAGTATTCAGGTTTTATTGCAGTGCTGGCACTTTGCAATAAATAGGTGGGTTTTGGGTTGCAGTTTGGGCACTCAGTCTTTAAAAGGTTTGTCATCACTGTACTAGAGATTGCCTTCTCCAGGAATTTTGAATGACATTCTCTTAAACATCAGTATATCCCATTATGGTCAGTAACAGTATCTTGGAACTGGAATGCACCCCAAACTCACATAATCTGACTTTCTGCCAAAAAAGAGGGCCATGTATGCAGTAGCTACAATCATGGTCAAGCAATGGAAACAGGCAATCCCTTAGAATATGCATTTCCTTCAACAGAAGCCAACATTTCCTTATATTGTAAGAGGACCCAGACTTTAGCTGCACAATTCTAAAGTTGTTTACCAAGAAGTATTTTTTTCATTTTAAGACAACATTGGTACAGCAGTTTAGTTAAAATCAGATTAATCAAAGCCGACAAAGAAAAGACCAGCTCAACAACAAATTCCAACTCTCAATCTCATGACCAACCCTGCAAGAGAGTATCCAACCACAGCAGATGCCTACTTTGAGCTAGTGATGCAACTGCTAAAGGACCCCTCACCAAGGACCACACAGTCACTCACTTGCTTCTTTTTGCCTTCTGAGGACAACACCTTGGTGACACCAATCCGATGCAGCATGACATGGACACGCTGTTCGAAGGAACTGGGCAGTTCACCATCACTCCTCTCAAAGGGCCTTTTCTGTAGAGCAAATCACAGAACAAGCCTGAGTACCCTCAATGAGAAGGCAAGCTTGAATGACATTTACTGTTTCACCAGCTCAGGCTGTGAGCTTTGCTTAGCCAAGTCATGCAACCGAGCATAGCTGTCCTGCATATTCCCTTCAGCACACTTTGTGCAGGGGTCTATTTTGAGACTCGAGGGACCCTGACAGGATGGACAGACAAGTTAGCCTTGACCAGGCATCTTATTTCACAGATTGCCATCTGCTTTCCTCACACACCCATGCAACTGAATAGCTAGGAATACAATATTCTGTCCCATTCATCCTCCCCCTACCAAAAGCTGAAATGTCAGCCAGTGTCATTAAACATCCGTCCCCACAGATTCATTGCTAAGGAGACACAGCACTGCCATTTTTCACTCCTGTCTCCCTGGACTTGATTAGGCTGGGGTGGCAGGACGCATGACATCCATACACCACGAGGCAGGCAGCGACCTCGGGACACTTGGTGTCTCACGTGACTGGAGCGCGAAGCTTGTGCCCTTCAAAAGGCATCCTTTGAAGACAGCCTGATGGGGCTGCAGGTAGAAGCACAGAGAACTGCTGGGCCATCTCACTCTTACGTGTGCTGGGGAGGTGGCTATTTTATGTAATGGGGGTGGCGGCGGGGGGTGGCCACTGGACTCACCAGTGTCCCTCTCAAGAAAAAACTCGCATTCCTGATGTCTCAGGGAGCAAGATAAAAGAATTTCAGTGCTGGGCATGGCCGAAAGGGCCATAAGGCAGCTTGTTGTTAAAGTTAAGCAGGCCCAGGTTTGATCAGTGACAGGACGGGAGACTGTTTGGGAGCTTCCTGACTTTCCCAATGGAAGAATACTTAGATATAGAGAGCAAACAAATACGAAGTCATAGCTAAAATAGAAAAGACTCACCTTTTCATGCCTCACACCAAGTCCCTCTTCATCCTCCCCTGACAGGAGTATCAGGGACTGGGACTTGCCTTCCCTGGAGTATTTGGGCCTGGCCCTGCGAGCACTGTCTGGAGTCTGGCTTTGCTCCAGGTAGCCTCTACTCTCCACAGCCAGTCCTCCTTCCTCTGACTTACTTAGTGCTTTAGTTGATTCACTGGCTTTGCTGGGAGCCTTTAAAATGTCACTGATCATCAGCTTTCTGCCCCATGCTGCAGAGGGGCTTCCCTCTGGCTCTTTCTCTGGTCTGGTACCCCGACTTGACTTTGGCTTTTTGAAGGCAAAGAAGTGTCCTATTTTCTTCTTGAAGGTTCGAGAGCCAGAAGATATTGATGCTGCTAGGGAGCTTTCTAATGAAACGGGACTGCAACCAGACAGTAAAGAAAGAACAACACAATTACTCGAGGAGCTGCTTTCTCCCAAACACCCATTTTCCAGGGACTTCTGCATTTCCCCCTAATTCTAAAAGGTTGAAATGTCTCTCCTAAGACTTACTTACTGGTAGTAAAAGCTTTAAACTAAAATATGCTGGTGTTCTGGGCTTTTGACCCCACCTACCAATAGAATGAGGCCCACAAGAGCTTCTCTGAATGGATTTGGCTGAAGGAGGTTTCACAACCGTCTTAAGTGGATTTTCTTCAGTAAAGAAAAAGATGGAAGAACTGGTGGGAGAACACGGAAGGTCAAGAGTAGAAGATGACATGTACCTGCCCACCATAATCTGCCATAACTAAGGCAGGGCAATGGTGTCATAGAATCCTTGTCTGGAAGCAGCATAACTGTAACTTCACCAGAATGATTGGAAGCTACTCTGCTTAGCAGGGTATTAGATCATTAAGTCTGCACTGTCATTAGTCTATCTCAGAATTGATTGGACTCTTTTGTGGTAAGCAAAATAACCTATATCCTATATCTGATAAACATGCTTATTATGAAAACAGTTTGCAAACATTCATTAAACTTTCATCATGCTCAATTTTAAAAGGCTGGTACCATTAGTGCTAGCTGGTTCCTTGACTGCCACCTCACAGTCTAAAAAAAAGTAGACATGGTCCCAGCCCTTCCCCACCTCCTGATGATGACTGATTGGAAACTCCCAGGAAAGACAAAGTCTTCACTTACGGTAAGTGCTCATGAATCACCTTCTTTGTAAAGAACTCATCTAGGCCTTCATCAAGTCTAGCGATGCTTCTGTCTTCATCATTCTCTCGCACAGGCGGCTGCACCTACGAGCAAGTGCAGCACCAGAGTGGCAGGCAGAAAAAGCAAGAAGGGAATAACGGCACCGAAGAAAAAAAATTACCATGCAGCCTCCTTTCTTCAGTTTCATTATAAGATCAATGGGTGTCAATAAGCCATTCAACTAGACACTCATTCACACATTAATTAGGAAACATCCTTCAGTGTTTCACTCTAGAGCAACCTTAACTGGAACATCAGAGAAACACTAACTAGTAGGATAACCCACGATCGCTTATAAGCCACTGTGGGTTGATGTGCTCTCCAAACCCAGCACTGCTCTTGTGGTGGTTTCTGAGCCACCTCAACTACCCATAGCTTGTCATAGGGTTCATTTAACCCACCATGGGTTATTGCACAATCCAAACCCGGACAATGAAATACGCTGTTGTCAGAGCATGCAATGAGTTGCATGAGAAAAGTGTTGAAAACTTCAGCTGCTCCTTTTTTCATGAGCAGCTTGTTTTTCCAATCTCTGCCTGGCAACAGATTGCACTCAATCTTCTAATGGGAGATAGGTGTGTCATATCGCAATGGATCCCACTGCATGTTGAGGCCATATGGGCATCCACACTGGACATTAAAGCCTGGGATGATGCCGTGTTCAAGGATACTTTCCATATGCCCAGGCCAGCTTTTGATAATCTCTGTAGTTAGGCTAGTCATCTGCCACTTGGACACAAGCACGTGTACACACAACACCTTTTAACAAGCTAGCTTTCAGCATTGGCTACTTGGCAACTGTATTTGGAGTGGGAAGGAGAATGTGCATGTACTGAATAAGCAGAAAAAAATAAATGGCTTCCAAAAACTGGGATTCTCTCAGGTGGAGGTGTCTTGGATTCCATGTCCCTCCCCCAATCCTCACCATGGGGAGGAATACTAGAAGTGTTTCCACAGCATGGTACTCCAGGCATGTGTGGACAGCAAGGGCCAGTTTATAGACATCTTTGCAGGGGCATCCAGGAGAAGGCACTGCGATATTCTGGACCTTGCCTCTTGCAGATAAGCCTGCAACTAGATGGTTCGTCAGCATCCTGGACACAACAGTGAGTGGTGGGCCTATCCTGCCCCTCATCGGCAGGGCCCAGACTTTTGCTTTTCAGCCCAGACTAGCATGACCATAATATGCTCCAGAACAGTCAGGCAGAAAAACTTCAACTGCTGCAACAACTGTATAAGGCTGCTTGAGCAATGGGCATTTGGCTGCTTAAAGTCTCAGTTGTGCTCTCTGCATACTTTTCTGAATGCCACGGAAGACCCTGTGACAGAGGCAACAGTGATGCACTGCTTCCTGCCCAATATTTGCTAGTCAAGGGGGAGCAAGACCACCCTGTGCTTTGGAGGAAAGTAACGTTGCCCAGTTGACATGCATCTGGGAGAGCTCCCCCCGCCCCACGCCAGTCAACTCCAAACTGAACAATCAACTCACAAGGACATCTGACAGAGCCATGGTTGCCATACCAGTATGAATATCATGCATGTACTGTGTACTTGCTCCAAAGAGCCTGGCGGGTGCCTGGGTTTTGCTTAGCTCTGCATTGCAGGGTAGGAGTCGTCTTGCCCCATCCAACCTCCACCCAAGCCCTAGAGTCATCACAGGGGAAATATTGCCACAAACCACATTCCCTGTCACATATCCATTGGCACCTCCCATCCTGTCCAAAGTGCAGGTATCAATCCCATTTTAATCAGATTGCTGCTGGCCTGTAAAGGGCTTATATTCCACTCACTTTTATGCTGCTTTGTAATCAATAAAGGAGGGCTCTGGAAGGCTGTTGAGAGCACCAAATGTAAGTAGGGTGGGCAGTGGCAAACCAAGAAGAGAAATGTTCTGGTGTTCTAGAGAGGGAGGCTGAAGACTACAGAGGATGGAGGCAGGAAATGCAGGGAAGGCAGGGAGATGGCACAGAGGGAAGCTATGGGGCACTGTTGCCAGTGTTGTGTGCTAAAGACAGAGTGGCAAAATACAGAGGAAACACAACCATGAAACAAGGAGCGGGGGAAATAAGAGGGGGAAAAGAAAGGAGGAAATATCTTCATCAGGCTCTGGTGGGTGAAGTGGAGAAAGGAGGCCAGAGTGATGGAGGATGGAAAACGGCAGACAGGCACAAAAGATGGGAAGAATACATGAGTCCTGATCATGAAGCACACCAACAGGGAAAAACAGAATGACTCCATGGCGAGGGATCAATAGGGGGAAAAAACTGGTGACACAACAGTGACACAAGCAGTAGGGTTATCCTGAAGCTGCTGCAGAAGGGCCTGAGATGCATGCCGCTGCCCACTGGAGATCCAAGGGAGAACAGGGCAAATAGCGGGAGAGGGGGCAGAATCCCAGAAAAAGGTGGTCATCTGTCAAGAATTTTATCTGTGCTGCATGAGTAAAAATCCCAAGTGGGATTATGAGAACTTGTCCTATGTCATGCAAATATGACCAGGGCACAGAACTCTTAGCACTCTTCCTAGTTTCTGTGCAATGTTACCCAGAAATATGTGTGATACAAATATCCTCTCACTCATTTGGGATAGATCTTGGCAAGGGACTGGCTTGCTTCTGGGAAAACCCTGAGAGCTTTTTTCAGGATGTGGCTGCTTTCAGGGACTGGAACTGACTCCTCTACAAAACAACCCTTTCATCAGAAAAAGCTCCTGTTGGGTCTCAGAAAGATGACAGACGAGAGGAAAGCTGGTGAATGGGTGCACTTGGCATCTTGTTGGACATACGCTTTGTAAGACTTGGAACCTGGTAGTGCCTTTCTGCCCAACTTATGAAATCTACCTTGCAAATTCCTTTGATGTGAAGCTTTTTGAAACTTGCTAACTTTTAAACCAATACTGATTACTTCCTAATTGGACTATTGTAACGTGCTCTACGTGGGGCTGCCCTTGAAGATGGTCTGGATACTTCAGTTGGTTCAGAACAGAGCTGTCAGGATGTAAACAGGGACTGGCAGATAGGCACATATAAAGCCGGACCTTTACCATCTACACTGGCTACCAATTGAAGTCTGGGCCCAATTTAAGGTGTTGGTATAACCTATAAAGCCCTAAATGGTTTAGAACCTGGTTATCTGAGGGAGCATCTCCTCCCTTAAGATCTGGATTGGAGGTCCTTCTTTGGGAGCCCTCTATGAAGGAGATTAGGAAGGTGGCTACCTGTAGAAGGGACTTCTCTGTGGTGGCACCTCGGTTATGGAATATACTCCCCAGGGAGGTTTGCCTGGCGCCAACACTTTATTCTTTTTGGCACCAGGCCAAAACACTTTTATTTCCCTTTTTATTTTAAGGTTTAGATTGCGAATTTAATTGAGGTTTTAACAGAATGGATGCTGTGCCTTACTTTGTTATATTGTAAAGCCGTCCCAAGATAATTTTGTAGTGGACAGTATACAGCAGCTTTAAATAAATAAATAAATGAGCAGACAATAAAAAAGTTTCATCCTGCCAAACTGATTTCATTTTTTAATAGGACAATTTCCCTGGGATAGCAGGAATTCTGTGGACATCATCTATCTTGACTTCAGCAAAACTTTTGACAAAATGCCCCATAACATCCTGATTAGCAAACTAGCTAAATGTGGGCTGGATGGGACAATAATCAGGTGGATCCAGAGTTAGCTATAGAATCGGACTCAAAGAGTGCTCATCAATGGCACCTTCTCAAACTGGGGAGAGGTAACAAGTGGGGTACCACAGAATTCAGTCCTGGGCCCAGTGCTCTTCAACATTTTCATTAATGACTTGGATGAGGAAGTGCAGGGAACAATGATCAAATCTGCAAATGATACAAAACTTGGTGGGATAGCTAATACCCTGAAAGACGGATAGAAGATTCAAGGTGAACTTGATAGGTTGGGGTGCTCGACTAAAAAGAATGAAATTCAATAGGGGCAAATGTCAAGTTCTGCCCCTAGGAAAAAGAAACCAAATACACCGGTACAAGATGGGGAGAACTTGGCTCAGCAATACTGCAAGTGAGAAGGATCTTGGAATTGTTATAAACCACAAGCTGAATATGAGTCAAGGGCAAATGCTATTGTAGGCTGCATTAATAAAAGTATCACTTCCAAATCACATAACGTACTAGTTCCCCTTTACTCAGCACTGGTTAGGACTCATCTGGAGTCCTGTGTCCAGTTCTGGGCACCACAGTTTAAGAATGATGCAGACAACCTGGAAAGGGTTCAGAGGAGGGCATGAAGGATGATCCAGGGACTGGAAACAAAGCCCTATGAGGAGAGATTGAAATAATTAAGCATGTTTAGCCTTGAGAAGAGAAGACTGAGGGGAGATATGACAGCTCTGCAAGTACTTGAAAGACTGTCACAAAGAGGAAGTTCTTGATCATCCCAGAGCGCAGGATACGAAATAACAGGCTCAAGCTGCAGGAAGTCAGGTTCTGACTGAACATCAGGAAGAACTTCCTGACTGTTCCAGCCGTATGAGAATGAAACCAATGACCTGTGCAGGTTGTGGGATCTCCCACACTAGAAGCATCCAAGATGCAACTGGATAGCCATCTGAGAGGGATGGTTTAACTTGGCGTTCTCCGCTGAGCAGGGGGTTGGACCTGATAGCCCTCCGGCCTCTTCCAGCTTGACCATTCTATGGTTCTATCAAGGCATTTTCATGCTGCCTTATCATGACACATCCTGACTTGTGACGCAGCTCACATTTACTACGGCACCATTGGAAATGAATTCAGCAGTAGCACAACGAATTATGTTGTTCTTTGTAGTGAACTGAGTTTGCGCTGAAACCATATCCCATTCGCTTGCATGGATTCATACAATCCATAGTCACAAGGGAGTCAGTGATTACGACATCAGTTGTGGACATTTTGCAGCATTTTGCTAGTTGGTGAACACTAGTGACAGTTTGTCAAACACAAAGTAAAGCCTGCATGAGTGGGACTAGTGGGTTAGTCTCAACAAAGAGGCTCCCCTTGGTTGATTGCTTTGGTGTATACAAGTAACATTCCATT